AATTCATTGAATGTTCTTTTGCTTATCCAAGCTGGCACATCCCCTGTTTGTGGAAGGTCTCTTAACATCCCCTTTAGTATAGTAAGACATAACATTCTGAGTTAGATAGTGGGTTTGCAATTTAATTTGTCTAATTAACCGCTTAAAATTGTGATCCAAAAGAAAACCTGAAAATTTGCCTCTTTATATGTTTCCTGATTTGCAAAAATGGCTCTTTATATAGTTTTAACTGCCTCTTTATATGTTTCCTGATGAGCAAGTTATCATGGTTAATTAGCATACCCTAAAGAATGTCGGTAATGGTTCCGCATGCTGATGTTTAAGAATAGACATAACTTGACTGAAATTTTTTTTTCTTCTTTTTGTTGTTTTTCCCTATTATTAGCATGTCAATAGTTTCCCTGCATTTCACAGCTTCAATCTTAAGTAACCTTTCAACTGTTGAATGCTTGCTTCCAGGAACTTCAATCAATGAACATAGTTCCTCGGTTAAAACTAGCTGAGGCATGAAGTATGGCTTTTCTTGACAGCACCAAGTCAACAAACTGAAAGTGAGATTTGATTTTGCGGTTTTCCGTACTACTGATTCTATTCTAAAGAGTCATACCGAAAAATGAAAAATGCTCCATTCTAAAGCCAGCTAGCCATCAGATGTGGAAACCCGCATAATGTGGTACAGGGATGGGCATGGTGAAGAGGGTTGGCACAAGGTTTTCTCTGCCCCGCTTATGTTCATCTTTTGTTGCTGCTTAGAGAGGCAGGAAGTATGTGCCGTATACTTTGTTCTTCTCAAATGGAAACAACTTGTATCTCTCAATGTATACATTTTTTTCTTCTAAATAATGTATCATTTATTCTAGAAAGGGCTTTGGCGCCTATTCTGAGTACACAGTAATAAGTTAATAAATATGCACCCCTACCCTCAAAATTGTCTCTCTCAAGGGCATAAAACCGAAAGTAAAATATGAATATATCAACATGTGGACGAGGCATTGGTGAGACTCCCAAATATCAGTTACGAAGAAATTAGTCCTTACATCTGCGTCTTTCACAGAAGTCACAGGGACGTTCTTCGCTGCAACTACTTCACTGACCAAGGTGGGCTTTAAATTCCGCATAAGTCAGTCGCACCTACAAAATTTCTCTGCCATCCAGATCAGACATAATTTGCAAAAAGTTACTTTTGATCCATGTCATTTTTAGTTCTAGCGGCTTGATCCCCATAGTTTGATACCCCTCACAATTTAAGGACACATCCGCATTTATGTCCAATTACATGGCAGAAATTAAACACGTGCCTCTCACATGGAGGTGTATTTTTGCCTACTTGTGGCATCTACCTTATTTATGGCTTCACCTCTTCCCATTCCAGTCTTTCTTTTTTGGTATGACTTTCCAATTCAGTCCAGGCTCGAATTTAGGAATTAGGGCTCCTCAAAATGTTTTATTCATGGGTTGAGATTGTGTTCAATTTCTCATTCTGGCATGTAAGATTTAGTTTTTACATTTCTAATTTTGATATATAATTGCATTTCATTGAACAACTTGTTAATCCCTTCATATCTAGGTCTACAACTACTATTGTGTCTCCCTTGGATTTTATGCACCTTAATAAGCATGTCATACTCTGGCACCAGCCAAGCATCAAGGTGTTCATTCCGCAGTAGGGAAATGAGGGTGGGAAGGGGAACCTCAAAGACACAAAGGAGTCGTGGAAGGTGCTTCTGGAAATACAATACATCATATGTAATTAAGACTGACCCAAAAAAAATACTGATTTTGTGTTGTTTCGGAATGTAGAAATGTGATATTTCTTATTCTAGAGCCAAGTTTGGATTTGGT